ATAGATGAAACTCACAATAATAAATAACATATATCTCGATTACTGCAACTCCCTCCTCATGGGCTTACCTGTACATAGACTATCCCCCCTCCAGTCCATCATGAATACTGCTGCCAGGCTCATCCATCTTACCAACCAGTCAGTGTCTGCTAAGCCTCTCTGCCAATCCCTCCACTGGCTTCCACTCGCTCAACGAATATAATTCAAAATACTAACAAATTACAAAGCCATCCACAACTCTGCCCCCAGCTACATCACCAACCTGGTCTCAAAATATCAACTAAATCGTTCTATTCGATCTTCCCAAGACCTTCTGCTGTCCAGTTCCCATGTCACCTCCTCCCATGTTCGCCTCCAGGACTTCTCATGAGCTTCTCCCATCCTATGGAACTCTTTACCCCAATCTCTCCGGCTGTCTCCTAATCTATCCACCTTTAGACGATCCCTGAAAACCTCTCTTTAAGGAAGTCTATCCTGCTTCTACCTAGTAAACCACCATTTATTTCCTCTATCAGTTCATTCCCTCCCCCACAGCTATCACCTTTTGTATCACTCAACCCTTCCTCCTATATTGTAAGCTCTAATGAGCAGGGCCCTCTGTTTCCTCTTGTACCAAATTGTATTGTAACTGTAATGTCTACCTTGTAAAGCGCTACGCAAACTGTTGGCACTATATAAATCCTGTATAATAATAATAAAAAAAATGTCCAAGTGAAAATATAAAGTCCTTGTGTTGAAAAAAGTCCTAAAGACGATAAATGATGTGCTTGAATAAATTGTGCTCCACAACTTGAATTGACAGTGCTCCACCGCAAAAAGAAATAAGTGCCCCTCCACCTAAGAATAGGATGGCCGCTCACCTCAAATAATGGACCTATGTAATAGCATGTCAAAAAAGCATGGTCATTCAATGAATGGGCTATAGATGGCAGAAAAGACCTGGTTAAGGCAATGACAAGGGTGATAATGCAGGATCACTCCCAGGAATTTCTTCACAACTCCACCTCAACATGTGGGAAGAAAGAACAGCCTCCCATAGTGAAATACCATTTATTAAATTAAAAGCACGAACAGAGTAACGCTCACAATGTCTCAGAGTAAACAGATCGGTATGGCAGCATGATATTCACCACACTTCTGGTCCTCGAGTCCATGACAGATAAATAGTTACCAATGTGTATATAATGTGAGAGCATCGCTGGGCAGCCTATCCCTGATGAAGCCACATGGTTGGTGGTGTAACGCGTGGGGCGGAGCTTAGTGACATCAGTTCCGGTCATGGACTCGAGGACCCTTACATTATCATCCTTGTGCGACACTATTTATATGATTTAGAAATACTGAAAAACTTACTTTATTGCCTCACACATATCCAGCCCCATTTTGACACAGTTTTTTGCATGACTGAGTAGTGGTATTGGTAGGCCTGAAACACAGTAGTAACAGTCACCCAAGATTTTAATCCTCATACATTCGTTTTCCTGTAATTAACAAGAACACAGTTACGTTAGTTGCATGAAGATTGATACAAAATAAACATTCTAGGCTTGAAGACTAGTTAAAACCCCCAAACACTACATGTATATTTTTAGAAGCAGAGACCCTGAAAAAAATGGTGGTAGTTGCAAATTTTTATGTCACATGACATTAGCATGACTGTTTAGCAAAGATATGTTATTAAAAGTTGACTCCCCTTTTAATAAATTCACAATAACTGAAATTAACATAGTAAACACATACATATTTTTTTGTTACTTGCCTTGCATAATGTTTATGTTCCCACATTTTAGTGCATTGTCCACCCCATGCCAGAAAGCCAACAATGCCATTTAAAGAAATCAACATCATCAGTGGATGGCTTCTACTTAGTTTTCTAGGTCAACCTACCAATGATATACAGTTGCAAGAAAAAGTATGTGAACCCCTTGGGATTACGTGGAGTTTTTCATGAATTGGGCATAAAATGTGCTCTGAACATCATCTAAGTCACAATAGAAGAACACAGTCTGCTGAACATAATACTACACAAACATTAGATGTTGCCATGGTTGAATTGCACATAACATGTAAACATTCACAGTGCAGGGAGGAAAAAGTATGTGAGGCCCTAGCTTAAAGACTTCTCCCAGAGCTAATTGGAGCCAGGAGTGAGCCAACCTTGACTCCAATCAGTGTGATGATATTGGATGTGTTGCTGACAGCTGTCCTGCCCTTAGAAAAAAACACACCTGTTTTGGGTTTACTGGTTTCAAGAAGCACTGTCTGATGTGAACCATGCCTCACAGAAAAGAACTCTCAGAAGACCTAGGATCAAGAATTGTTGACTTGCATGAAGCTGGAAAGGGTTACAAAAGTATCTCCAGAAGTCTTGATGTTCATGTGTCTACGGTAAGACAGACTGTGTCAGGGCTCCCAGGTATGACCAGAGGTGTGTGACTGAAGCAGGGAAACGCAGACTTCAGATATGTGATTAACAATGTAATTTATTAACACTAACAATACAAACATAAACGCAGTGCAATACTAAACATAATACAGTGCAAACAAACCCAACCAACCACCCACAGATAACAGTACATACAAGCAAGCGTCGTCAGGCAGACCGAGTCAATATCAATTGGGCAGGTAGGTACAGGGGGAGCAAGCGGAGAATGGTCGGGGTCACAGGCCAGGTTCAGCAGGTAGCAAGCAGCGTAGTACAGAGGGTCAGGCAGAGGGATGGTCAGGGTCACAAACCAGGGATCAGAACAGGTAGCAAGCAGCGTAGTACAGAGGGTCAGGCAGAGGGATGGTCAGGGTCACAAGCCAGGGATCAGAACAGGTAGCAAAGGAACAGAAACAGGATGCAGGACAGATACAGGGCCCAGGACAAACACAACACCAAGGCAGAGTCTGCAAGTCTGGCCATCCCTTAAATACACCAGTATCATCAGTTCCAGGTGTTAGCTGGCTGAAAGGTTGAGTCTCTGATTGCTGGGAGCACCCGCTGGCCAGCCCTGGTACTGCAGATCAAAAGGCAGGTGAGTCCCACCATTGCTGGCCAGTCCATTCCTGACAGTACCCCCCCTCAAGGAGCGACCTCAGGACGCTCCAAACAGTCCTAGCTGGGAAAAATGTTCCACCGCCCGGGTCTGGTAACTGGCGGGATATCAAAGACTGGCACACCAGGCAGGACTCCGGGCAGCGGTACACCGGGCAGAGGCACATCGGGCTGGACTCCGGGCAGAGGCACATCGGGCTGGACTCCGGGCAGAGGCACATCGGGCTGGACTCCGGGCAGAGGCACACCGGGCAGAGGCACATCGGGCAGAGGCACATCGGGCTGCTACCAGGGCAGCGGCAGGCACCGGGCCACCGGGCGGAGCGGCAGGCACCGGGCCCCCGGGCGCAGCGGCAGGCACCGGGCCCCCGGGAGGGGCGACAGGCCTCAGGCCCCCGGGCGGGGCGACAGGCCTCGGGCGGGGGGCGAGAGGCCTCGGCCCCCGGGCGGGGCGACAGGCATCGGGCCCCCGGGCGGGGCGACAGGCATCGGGCCCCCCCAGGCGGAACTACAGGTCTCGGGCCCTCAGGCGGAGCGGCGGGTGCCGGACCCCCAGATGGGCGGAGGCCAGGGGGGCCCCAGGCGGGGCGACAGGCATCGGACCCCCAGGCGGGGCGACGGGCATCGGGCCCCCAGGCGGGGCGACGGGCATCGGGCCCCCAGGCGGGGCGGGCACGGGCATCGGGGCGACGGGCATCGGGGGCGAGGGCATCGGGCCCCCAGGCGGGGCGACAGGGCATCGGGCCCCCAGGGGGGCGTCAGGCATCGGGCCCCCAGGCGGGCGGCGGGCGGCATCGCCGGACCCCCAGGCGGAACTACAGGCCTCAGGCCCTCAGGCGGAGCGGCGGGGGCGCCGGACCCCCGGGTGGAGCGACAGGTCTCGTGCCCTCAGGCGGAGCGGCGGGCGCCGGACCCCCAGGTGGAGCGACAGGCATCGGGCCCCCAGGCGGGGCGACAGGCATCGGGCCCCCAGGCGGGGCGACAGGCATCGGGCCCCCAGGCGGAGCGGCGGGCGCCGGACCCCCAGGCGGAACTACAGGTCTCGGGCCCTCAGGCGGAGCGGCGGGCGCCGGACCCCCGGGTGGAGCGACAGGTCTCGGGCCCTCAGGCGGAGCGGCGGGCGCCGGACCCCCAGGCGGAGCGACAGGTCTCGGGCCCCCAGGCGGGGGCGCGGCAGGTCTCGGGCCCTCAGGCGGAGCGGCGGGCGCCGGACCCCCAGGTGGAGCGACAGGTCTCGGGCCCTCAGGCGGAGCGGCGGGCGGGCGCCGGACCCCCAGGTGGAGCAACAGGTCTCGGGCCCTCAGGCGGAGCGGCGGGCGCCGGACCCCCAGGTGGAGCGACAGGTCTCGGGCCCTCAGGCGGAGCGGCGGGCGCCGGACCCCCAGGTGGAGCGACAGGTCTCGGGCCCTCAGGCGGAGCGGCGGGCGCCGGACCCCCAGGCGGTGCGACAGGTCTCGGGCCCTCAGGCGGAGCGACAGGTCTCGGGCCCCCAGGCGGGGGCGGCGGGCGCCGGACCCCCAGGCGGAGCGGAGCGGGCGGCGCTGGGACCCCCAGGCGGAGCGACAGGTCTCGGGCCCCAGGCGGAGCAGCGGGCACCGAGTCACCAGGCACGACAGTGGGCTCCGAGTCAACTGGCATGACCGCTGGCACTAGGTCAGACATTGGATCGTCTGGCCGGACAGCGGGCATCGGGTCACCAGGCATCAGGTCATTTGGCTCGACCGCGGGCACCGCGTCATCTGGCAAGGCAGTGGGCTCCGAGTCAACTGGTATGACCGCGGGCACTGGGTCAGACATTGGATCGTCTGACTGGACAGCGGGCATCGGGTCACCAGGCATCAAGTCATTTGGCTTGACAGCGAGCACCGCGTCATCTGGCAAGGCAGTGGGTTCCGAGTCAACTGGCATGACCGCGGGCACTGGGGCAGACATTGAATCGTCTGGCTGGACAGCGGGCATCGGGTCACCAGGCATCAGGTCATTTGGCTCGACAGCGGGCACCGCGTCATCTGGCAAGGCAGTGGGCTCCGAGTCAACAGGCACGACAGTGGGCACCGGGTCATCAGGTACCGGATTGTCTGGCTCGACAGCAGGCATCGGGTCACCAGGTATGACAGCGGGCACTGGGTCACCAGGCATCAGGTCATTTGGCTTGCCAGCGGGCACCGCGTCATCTGGCAAGGCAGTGGGCACCGGGTCACCAGGCATTGGATCGTCTGGCTCGACAGCGGGCATCGGGTCACCAGGTATGACAGCGGGCACTGGGTCACCAGGCATCAGGTCATTTGGCTCGCCAGCGGGCACCGCGTCATCTGGCAAGGCAGTGGGCACCGAGTCACCAGGTACGACAGCGGGCTCTGAGTCAATTGGCACGACAGCGGGCACCGGATCAGGTACCGGATCATTTGGATCAACAGCGGGCATCGAGTCAACTGGCCTAATAGGATCGTCAGGCTGGATCAGTTCATCATGCTGGGTAGAGGCATCAGGCTGAATGCCGGCGTCCGGCTGAGTAGAGGCTTCAGGCCGAGTAGAGGCTTCAGGCCGAGTAGAGGCAGGCCGAGTAGAGGCTTCAGGCCGAGTAGAGGCATCAGGCCGAGTAGAGGCATCAGGCCGAGTAGAGGCTTCAGGCCGAGTAGAGAGCTTCAGGAGGCATCAGGCCGAGTAGAGGCATCAGGCCGAGTAGAGGCATCAGGCCGAGTAGAGGCAGCTTCAGGCCGAGTAGAGGCATCAGGCCGAGTAGAGGCTTCAGGCCGAGTAGAGGCATCAGGCCGAGTAGAGGCATCAGGCCGAGTAGAGGCTTCAGGCCGAGTAGAGGCATCAGGCCGAGTAGAGAGGAAGTATCAGGCCGAGTAGAGGCATCAGGCTGAGTAGAGGCATTCATCAGGCCGAAGAGAGGCATCAGGCTGAAGTAGAGGCATCAGGCCGAGTAGAGGCATCAGGCCGAGTAGAGGCTTCAGGCCGAGTAGAGGCATCAGGCCGAGTAGAGGCATCAGGCCGAGTAGAGGCTTCCTGAAGAGAGGCATCAGGCTGCATACAGGCATCAGGCTGAAGAGAGGCATCAGGCTGAAGAGAGGCATCAGGCTGAGAGAGGCATCAGGCTGAAGAGAGGCATCAGGCTGAGTAGAGGCATCAGGCTGAAGAGAGCATCAGGCTGAAGTAGAGGCTTCAGGCTGAAGAGAGGCTTCAGGCTGAAGAGAGGCTTCAGGCTGAGTAGAGAGGCTTCAGGCTGAGTAGAGGCTCAGGCTGAGTAGAGGCTTCAGGCTGAACCACGGAAGGCAGGCTCACCGGTTTGGATACTGGCAGGATGGTATTGGTTGGAAAGAATTTTCGCTTTTTTCTGGTTTTAACTACTGGAGCACTGCAAGTAAACGCAGGTCTGCAAACGAATGGAGCAGCTGGAGACAGAGAAGAACTGGAGGATGGAACAGGAGAGGGAGCAGTTGCTACAGAGGGCTTTTTTACAGGGTTAAAGGCAGGATAGGTGCAGCGAGTGGGAACAGGGTACTGACATGCGGTAGATAGCCAAGTATACTGGGCTGTAACTGGAGGAGCTGGTGGGAATACAGGAGTAGAGTTAGAAGCAGGACTGGGTTTTTGTAAGCTGACTGAGGCTGGGTGCAACAAGTCTGTCCATGTCTGCAGTATGGGTTGAACAAAAGCTGAGCTTACACAAAGCCTGTCTGGTCAATGACTGCACTGCGTTTATACAATCTCTTAGTGTCTGTGGTGAACATGTGGAATAACGCTCCAGAAAGTAACCCTTAAGACTGTTTCTTACTTTCGATAAGAGTCTGAGGTTCCTCTTTTTTTTCAGATGTAACTTCCTTTTTTCCTCTACCTAGCATAAGACTGAAAGTCTGCGGTGGGCTTTTTTCCTGTTGCAAGAGTATTAATAAACTATAGCCAGCGCTAAAAGGGAAGTTGTCTACTTTCTATATTAATGCTTGACGCATATAATAATAATTAACATAAATGCTAAATGATTGGGCATTACTGACGTATATAATATTCTGATTGGTCAATGCATACCTGTCAATTGATTGGTTCTTATATTTCCATGTATTGTTTTAAGTTTCATATATAAAGTTTGAACACGGAAGAATAAATTCAGTTCCTTCTGAGATACCACCTTGTGTCTGTGTGCAATTTCCTGTATCTCAAAGGGAACTCCGGGCCTGTGGACAGACATTGATCAGGGCCAGGGGACTGACGGGAGTCGGTAGCTACAGGAAGGAACGAGAGGAGCCAATTCCTTTCAATTGGGGGCTCGTGTCCGGGATGAGATAATCATCCTTTTCGGTAGGTAAGATTTTTTGTCATTCTGTCAATTAGTCTGTCTTGCCGGAAGGGCTCTGATTAAAATCTCATGCCCTTAGGTAGCACCGGGCTTCGCGTCTTAAGACGCCAGTGGCCAGGCGCAAAGTGCTGTGGGAAGCACAAGGTCTTTTGGAAAAGACCAGGAGCAGTTTTGGGAACTGCACAGTCTCTTATGAGAAGGGGCTGAAAAGAGTTTCTCTGAGAAGAAACCAGGAAAAGTCCGGGGCTGATCAATTCTGTCCTGCAACTCTTTGCTTTTCTTCCTATCGCATAGAAGTATAAGATAATTTGTTTGTGTGACACAAGTGCCCAGTTGGTAAGTGTATGGGCCAGAGGTCACTGAAGGTATTGTCAACTTCCGTTGTAAGACGCACCACCCCTTTAGCTAGGCCTTATTGGCTGATGACCTAGAGAAGGTGATAGCATGGTGACACGGAGTTGGGTGCTATGTAAATGTCTTGTTCAAATTGTGTTGTAGGCTTATTGTTAGAAAAGTGGGAGTTAGTCAGAGTCAGGATATTATTAGAAGTATTGTATATCCAGGTTATAATCTCCACTTTTGGTCAACCACTAGAGAAAGACCCAATAAATATCTTAAGTCCAGACATTTTTATAAAGTAAATTGTCATTTGGAAGTTGACCCCTGTTTTTTGGGACAGCCTATAGGACAGATTTGTAACACAGACCTTTGTAAGTGTAAAAATGGGAAGTGGTCAAAGTAAGGATAAACTCCCTCCCCCAAATGTTGGTGAGACATGTAAAGATTATGTAGCCCGTATCTGTGGGACAGATTACTATCTAGTTAACCCCTGGGTGGATAAATTAGCAGACTGGAGTGAATTCATGGGAAGTGTTGACCCGTTCCCCCGTGATGGGAGTAATGATTAGAGATGAGCGAATCGAAGTATCCGAAGTGGAATTCGAGTCGAATATCGGAAAAATTTCGATTCGTGCCGAATCCGAAAAAACAGCCTAATTCGGACGCGCGAATCGAAATTTTTCCGAAAATGGCGGCTGACATGTGCGGCGACGGAGCGGGGATGTCGGGGAAGGCGCGCAGACAAGGCGCGCTGCCCCATAATGCATTCCTCAACGACATGTGATCGCATCAGCCAATCAGCAGCCAGCCAGCCAGCACTGTGTAATGGTCGAGGTATATATAGCGGCCATTTTGGAAATCTTCATTTGCCTGCAGTCATTGAACAGAGGCAGACCGCTCTGTACTAGGGACAGGGACAGAGTTAGGGCCACAGAAACGAGAATTGGGGACAGAGAGAAGTTACTTAGGGACAGAGAACCATTACTCAGGGACACAGA